TGAGCAAAAAAATGTTTAGATAGATTCTGTTGTCACAGAGCCTTTCTGGCACGTCTGGATTCCAGCCCACTCTCATGTTGTCAGACTGAATAAAACAAGACCACACAAGAAGCTGAGATGCCCCCTGGTGTTCAGTAGTGTGGTTTTGAAAGAGGACTCATTAAAGTCATTATTCTGATTAGTCATCGAATGCTTCCTGCAGTGAAAACACTCTCATAATCACATGTGATTGACAGCAAATCCCCAAGTTTATGTTGAAATAATACCCTAATCAATGCTAAATTCTGTAAATTCAATGTTATGGAGCCACAGGTCCAGTGGATTTGTGCAGAATATCATCTGCAGTGTTAGTTATAGATAAACGATTTCACTAAAGCCAAGACCAGGATTTTACTCTTCAGGAACATGGCTCATCATCAGACAGCTTCACCTTTGTAAAAGAGAGGACAAGACACAATGTTAATGCTAATTAACAAAAGCTTGTTGTGTTTTATTAACACTAGCATTTAAGTACATAGTCCTAATCGTATTGGCTATAATGATTTACCAGGAAGATAAAAAGCTTATGTATTTCAGCACTTGCAGTTGTTTAACAATGTGTTAATTATGAGGGATTCCACAGTAGTGGGTGCAATGATGAACATGAACTGCTGCAGTAAATAAACATAAACTTTAGTTTTTATTACATTTGTGTATACCACTACAGTATGTTAAACCACGCACTCACTTTGAACTCCTCATCTGAATGCACCTCAGTGCCCCTTACATGGGGAATACTGCACCGTTTCAGTGCACAGCCTTGATGTGGCGCTGTATTTGATGGGCAGATGTGGAACAGTGACTTGAACTCCAGGCTGGCTGCAGCTGTACAGTGCTGACGTTGAGGGCTTTTAATCTCCATTAAGGTTTGGTAATACCACAGCTCTGATCTGATTTGATGTGACGTCTCTGGCTTCGGCCCTATTCACCCACCTATGGTCACTGCCTCACAGCATTGCTGACATCACTCCTCAGTAAGACCCTCAGCTGCACTTTCTTAAAGTGCCAATGGCTTTACATTGACCTAAGTAATAAAATATTAATTTGAAGAATATAAATATTGCAACATAAAAAAATCTTAATAAACAGTTTACAATTATTTTACATTTAAATAAAATAAAAATGTATTAAATTTAACTAAAAGGTAAGTGTAAAAGTAAATACATAATAATTATTGGTCAATAAAAGTAAATACAATATCTTTCAAATTTAAACATTTATAAAATAAGTGAACCTATTTAGTCATAAAAATAAATCAATAAACAAGAAGTTAAAAAAAATCAAAATAGCGAGCAGTATTTACTAATTTAACCATATAAAAAGAGACAGTCTTTATTTATATTTTGTGTAACCCTGTTTACAAGAAAAACATGTAGACTTGTATAGAACGTTTTTAGTTAAGGTATAAATAATGCTATTAATACCCTTTGTAACCACAGATAGATAGCTAGGAATGACGTTGTTGTTTCTTTGTCACTGTTGTGTAAAAGCCAGGTAGAGTGGATGAAAACAGTGTTTCATGTCGTGATGCTGTGCAGGCTCGTTCCAGAAACAAGATGTGTTTACCTTTTACAGAATCCTCTGCTTGGTAATAATCAAACTGTGGGATGAGGAACATAAAAAAATCTCAAGATTGCTTATAACCGAGGAGGCGTAAGAAAAGGCCGGGTATGAGGAAGAAGAGGAGGAGGAGCAGAAGAGGACAGGAGGATCTTGTCCTTGGGAGAATAAACACAATGACTACATTTGAGGAGATAATACTGCTGTGGTAAACACAGGCTTAAATCAAGAAAATGCATCTCTGCTTCATGTCACCCTGCTGTTCACACACCTACAGGAAAACTGCAGACATGCAGAGGTACAGAATGCTAAACACACTCTCTTCTACAAAAGGAAAGGACACTTAATCCAATGCTAGCAGCTGTTCAACAGTCCTAATGAGTTTATGAAGCAATCGGCTTCATAAACTCGTTGTCCTCCTTCACCCTTGTTTGTTTAATATATGGTTTATAAATACATCTCTGAAGCAGTAGCCCAGTCAATGGCATAGGGGAAACTATGTAATATACAATATATTTATACATTATATTTTGTTAAGTTGGGGCTAGACTGACAGGACTGTCTTCCACCAGAAGGCTCCCAGTCTGATACCACACAGTTCCTAAATAATAGTTGGGTAAACCTGATTTAAAAATTAAAAAATAAGCCAATCCAAAAGTGATTCTTTTCTATATCATTTTCAAATATAAGGATTTAAATTTTATAATAATTCAAATATGTTACAAAATTGTCCTGGGGTGAACAGCCACACATTCTATCGCAGGGAAACACAGTGGAAGAGTGTTTTTTGTCACCATTGTTGTTGGTTCAAATCTGGGCCTTGGACACATGGAACTCAAGGCCTATAGGCTACTAAAAATACTACCCTGCTGAAAGGGTGAGGAACTATCTGCACATGCTCTTGTTGATAAGCAATGATTTCCCTATATTTCCCTCAATGACATAAACATTCATAGTCGAACACAATATGAATCTGTACCTTGTGTGCTCTCTACATTCTTCTTTCACCCATACAGTACATGATGCTGGTACTTTGTGTACTGTGTACTATAGGCATTAGGTTGTTCTAGAATAAAATGTCTAATGAACTTGACATTGAGAGTGAAAGAAGCTGAAAATAGTAAACGTAATGAGCTGAAAAGTCACGTGGGCCAGGTTAGCCCATAATAACTGTTCATGAACGGCTGCACTCTCTTCTCCAACGTGTGAATTAAATCTATTTTAATCAAATAGCTAAACTGTCTTTAGATCTGCTAAGTGCTTGGAAGTCTCCTCACAGTTGTTCCCTGTTCCTCTTCTGACTTCAGCTAATCAGATGGTGCACTGTGTGTTCTCGCATGCAATGCTGCTGCTGCTGCTGCTGCTGCCCCCAACCTGGAACCACAGAGGGGGGAAAAGTCTAATCACCTCACCGTCTGCTTCCTCCATCACTGCGGTACCAATCCAGTGGGGTGGAAAATTGTCTTGTCATTTTATTTCTACCACAGAGAAAAGAGAGAAAAAAAACACACGTTGTTTTGAGAGGATTAATACGTCTGCTTTGCTCCACTTAATTTGAAAGCTCAGCAAAATGAAGCAGGCTGTATCTGTATCTCCAATCTGTGGGGATGAGTGTGAGAAGCCACAGAGAGATGAATAATGATCAGCTTCTGTGCCTGCATGTTAGTGTTTCCTTCACAGAAGCTGTAAATTACCCCCAAAACCAGGGCCTGAGGGAACTTCACCGAAACACAGCACAATAAATAGCTGTTATACTCTCAGTGTGGTGGACAACCCACTGATGTGTTTGTCTCTTTTTATTAATGGAAAGTAAGCTTTGTTAAACAATCTGAAAAAAAGTTCTTTCTACATTAAAATGTCCACATGGTTTATTTCTAAAGTATTAATTATATTTTAATCTTCACCTGTGTCAACTTGTCAACTTCTTTCTTCTATTTCCAACATGTCCCGTAGAGCAGACTGGTACTGATCCGTGGATCCTTTGATACTGCGTAGCAGTAAAATAAACAAAAATTTACTAATTTAAAGAGGAACTGGCCATTTCCATTTACTATCTTCATTTAAAAATAATTGTGTATGTCTTTTGGGCTCTAATACTAAAAGCATAAAATCTAAAACAATGTAGACTGAAACATTTTATCCTCAGTTTAGAGCCTTGTCAACTTTTGCAGAGATTATGACACAGTGACAACACCACTAAACATGATCCTCCAATTTCTGGGATTAAGAGGTCCAGGTCTGATCATATCATATATCACATATCAATATCAGATGGCTGTATATTTGCTCCAACCTCTGCGAAAAAAAAAAAAAAAAAATTCAAACTCAAAACCAAAAAAGCAGATAAATTAAACAGCTAGTTGTCAGAGCTGTGAGTCACACTCATTTTCCTTAAGGGCCACATTAACATTATGGTTGCCCTCAAAGGGCCTGTTGTAATAAGACTATTAATATAACTGCACCATAAGGTATTGATAAACATCTGCATTCACCCACAGTTATATTTTTAGTCAGTCTGTGAATAATTTACAATGCTCTGTGCTCTAACAAAAACAAAAACAACAACAACAAAAAAAAACTTTAGGGTAGAATGCATATTTAAATATACTTTGGAAATGTTATAGTAAATGACAACAAATATCATTGGAAATGTCAATACAAGAATCAGCAAATTCAAGAATCTACAACAAATAACCTGCCATAGTCATGGGTGATAAAGCATTTTACAAAACAAACACCTGCAAGCCAACCTACAGGGGGCCACACGTGGCATACATAACCAATGAGAGGGTCAGAACATGAATACAGGGGGTCCTCAACCGATGGTCTTTTGTGGTTACGTTACCATCTCCCATAAAAGTCTTGTCCCATCATTCTGACATACTTCGTTAAATCAACAACAACAACTTGTTGGCGAGCGTGTAGATTAAATATTTGTCACGCTGCGCAATATGCAAAAGACGCTTGGTTTCACTGGTTGTACACCATACACTGGATTGTGCTTCATTTGCTTTGCATTGTGAGAACTTTTTGCCCTTCGTTATGACTGCCAAACAAAAGTCAGACTCTTCTGATGTTACAGTTTTCTCAAAGGTCACTTAAAATGATTTGAGTGGCCAAATCTGGCCCGTAGGCCTTGAGTTTGACACATTTGACTTAGAGGGTTTTAAAGGCAGTAGCTACATAGCAGGAGCCATATTTAGTATGTGACATTGTCTTAATCAAGTGATATAAAATACAGGAATTCTAACTAGTGAGAGTGAAGAGTTAATCTGCTTCTTGATCTCTTGAGTGGAACAGCAGTGTGGAGAACGTCACGGATGTCAGTCAGCTCCTCTGGTCCCTCGTAGCCTCATTAAAGGAATATCTTTGATCCATTCAGATTAATTTAACCTCATGTCTGGCAAAATCAATGAGCTTGTAGGGGGGGGTATTATATATGAATGTTGATATAAAGTTGAATGAAAACACAGATGGAGAAGCAGTAACATGTTCAACGCAGGAGAAAACGTGGTGTCAGACAGGATCATTATTGAAACTGCAGAGAATTGAGACAGGAGGTCTACACTGATTAACCTTTGCAGAAATGGCCTCTGAGTTCAGTGTTTATTGATGGCCTGGGTTATGAAGTCACAGTGATTTCTCACAGAAGCTTAAATGAAAGGTTAGACTATTCACATTAATTGTTGAGGTCACTTACTGATTGGTGCCTTCGGCTTCAGCCATTACCACGAGAGAAGATGAGGCAGAGTGTGGAGTGACAGAGAGGAGCAGAGAGTCGGCCTGGCATTAGACGTCCATGTGAGTTAGAAGGTGACTGCAAACTGTTTTTTTTCTATTTTTTTTTCTTCTTTTTTCTTTTTTTTGATTAGAACACTGTGCTCTCCTGTGTGCCTATGAATAACTCAGAAAGTGAGCACTAACAACAGCCATCACAAACCCTCAGAGGAATCGATTTTCCATGAATAAAATCACTGGGGGAATACATGTCGGCAAATACAATGCATTTGCACTTAAATGTGCAGCTCTTGATGATGAAAGTCCACAGGAGAGTCTGACTCACCACATAGAAAAAACACTCAACACTCATGTCTGTGCCTTGTTCACCTGCCGTGTTACAAAGTACAAAGTACTTTCTGACTAGAAGTAGAACACACTTTCATGTGAGAATTACAGAAGCAAGAGGAGGACTCTCTCCAAAAGTTTCACCCAGATGGCTGGAGCCCTGAAAGTGGATAAGACTCGTTGCCTGCTTGTCCAACACTTTCTCTCCGATTCAGACTCTCCAAAGGAAGATTCTTGATAAATTTACAGACGCTTTGACTTTTCTCCTGTTGTGCCACAGTCGAGAACATGTGAGGTCCCCAGGTGGTTATGAATTGAAAGGTTTAGGTGAAGCCCTTCTGCTGTTGGCCTGGATAAAGGTTACTGTGTTTTTACTTTCACTCTGCAGGGTTGTTCTTTTGTGTGATCATTTGCTCAGGGTATCCAGCAGATGGTTTATAGATAAATAGATTTAGAACTGAACTGAAGGAGAACTGTGTCATGTCATAAAAGACAGCTTAGCTAACGGTGACTGCTAAGAGGGTCAGGGTCAAAGCTCAGCTACATTTATAAATATTGTAAATACAAATATTTTACTAATATCACAATGAAGAGTTCAAACATCTGTGTTAAATTTTGCTAAAGATACCTATGGATAATCTGTATGATCTTTACGGAGCTACTATGAGATGCATTTGGAGAAGTTTTTGAAGCTATTGTTTATTTACATTCACATTATTTTTATATTCCATTCCTCATTGTGACTCACAAATGCAGGGAACACTGACCTGTGTGTCTGACTGCAGGAGTTTTCTCACATGTGCGAGCTGCTTCTGACCTGAGGACGTTCGGTTGGTGTACCAACGCTCCACCTGACTGTGTAGAAACAACTGGAGCTTTCTGACTTGCTGATCACATCCTGTTTGTGAGACCCCTGCAGCATCTAACATCTCCCCTCCTCCCTGATATATTCAGAGGCAGCGGTGGGAATAAAAAGAGAATGAGGAGTGTGGCTCGGGGTCACATTCGCCCTCTTCAGTAATGAGAAGTTTTCTGTTGCTCCTCTCACCAGGTGAGGGTTGGAAATCATGTCCACCTCTGTCCAAAGGGCAGAAAGCAGCATGCTTTTTTGTCTGTGTGAGGCCATGCTTTATATGAACTGTGCATCCGTCGACTGGATGGGAATTAGGTGAAATCACTCCAGCGGATTTCTTCTTTTCTTCAAACTCATTGTCCTCCAGAGAGGCTCTTCTGTTCTGCTGAAAGGTAACAAATGTTCCAGAAAAGTGAGAAAAAGCGCATTGATCTTTGTAAGCCTGTAGCTGGAGAAAAATAGTGTCAGGTGTTCACGTGTTAACACTTAAACCATTTACTCTAATCTTGATGCCTTTCCCCACTTTCTCCTCATCCTCTTCAACTAAACACAGACATGCCATGGCCCACAGAACACACAGAAATTGGTCCCTTTGGGGCTTCTATGGCCTTGTTACTGAGCAGTGCAAAGGAAAGCTCCCACAAACACTTGCTTTAGTCGCCCACAGGCCCACAGTCCCCAGATCGGTCCACCAGCCCCACCAGTACATTTATTCAGGTCTACAGCAGCCGTTGCCACATTTGTCCTACATTTGTTCCCATTACCAGACACTGAATATCTTGCTCTGTCATTCAGTCTGAAAGCCTGATGTCCCTTCCTGCCATGGAGTGTCCAGCAGAGTGCTGCTGCCGATGTGAGGACTGAACGTCAGCAGGCTGACAAGGCCACACAACCACAATGACAAGAACGGCACTCAGTGGAGCACATACCGTCACCGAGGCCAAACAATGTGACGTGTCTGTCCTTGCAGGAATAGAATGCAAGAAAAATAAATGTTTTAAAAGGAGTTATGTAATGTTCTGTACCACACATATTTCAGCCACAAAAAAAAGTCAAGATCAGGATTTATTTCTGATCTTGACTCTGTGTTTAAGTGTTTAATTGCTACAGAAAAAGTGTGCCTACATTTTCATATGTCCACAGATTTAATAAAAACCTAATGTTTTCGACCAGTTGAACAACAGTAATTTTCTTTTCAACTTATGCCATTTTTTTTAGTTACTGAAGAGTTAATGAAAAAATTTAGAACTTAAAACTTTCACCAAGGATTTTTAAAATATTTCGCTTTAATATGATATCATTCAGACAATTCAGAATATTCATGCTAGAAAACTTTACTTACTTAATCTCTAAGTTGGAGTTTATTCAATTTTATGGAAGAGTTTACGAATAATGTTTATTGACTTGAGTTGCAAAGGTTTGTGATATACTGTATGTGCATATATTTTCTTACAATCTTTTTAACTTGTATCCGTGTATCCAAGCTGTGCTGTTTAAATAAGATGTATGGATGTTTTACTGTAACTACACCTTTTTTTTAAATTCTGCACTGAGGCCAGCCAATGGTTTAAAACTCCGAATCCAGAGTTCAGCTCCTGGTTTCAGTCAATCAGCGGGGTCAGGGTCAGGGTCTGCTTTATTACCAAGGGTCATGGATGTGTTTAACAAGTCTAAGAAGTGAAAAGACAGCAGTAAACGGAGGTTAGACACCTGGAGAGGAGAGGTGCTAACTCATTAGTGAAGGTAACGGCCTGGGAGAGGCATGTTCATGATCTGCTAATGTGACACAAATCGACTCGTATCAGTAGATTAGATTAGGGATGACTCTGCTCTGCCCTAAAACAGATTCTAAGCAGGCGTTCTCTTGACATTACCAAACATTCTCTGCAGGGTTTTGCTTTGGTGTCGAGCCCCCGAAAATCAACAGGTTAAAAAAATAATATGATAAATAATAATTAAAAACTACCAACAGTCTGCCCACAGTTAGCCTCTACCCGCAGAAACAAACTATAGATGCCAGTTGTTTGTGAAAACTGCAGATGAGTTTGCAGACATTGCCGATGCTCAGTCTCAAAGACTCTTCTTAACATTCTGTGCATGTGTGATCTGAATCAACACTGGTCAAACCAAATCAGTCTCCCTCACTGTGACAGCAAATGTAAGTCTATAGTTAGTTTTACTCTCACAGTTTGACAACTTCTCTGCCCACACAGCAGTCACTAACCTCCGTGAGCTGTCTGCCTGCAAACAGCAGCTGCTCGGAGGCTGAGCTAACTGAAATCCATCAAGAGATCCACAAGATGTTGAATCAGACACAAACTGCAGCCTGTCTGCATTTAGCAGCAACAGATGTTGTGTCCTGAACACGTCTAATATGCTTGAGGAAAAAAAAAACAAAACCAAAAAAATTTTAATCTTTCACAGTGTTTCTCAATTCTATCATTTTGTTCCTCCTTGGTTTGGTATTTAACGAGTATCTGATGTGTGAGGAAGAAGACGGGCTGAGTACGACAAAGGAAAATGAAGATGATACTTGTGCAGTTCAAAAATGCACAGGTCTTGGTGAAAGGAAATATAATTTTAGTGGTAAAAAGTCAAAGTCTTCAGAACAGTCAGATCAAGACTCTGTCCTGTGTAGAGGCCTCAGTCTCAGTCCAGGCTGTATGGGATGCCTGCCTGCCAAATGAACTAGGATGAGTAAAAGTCACCAAAGGCCATTTAAAGGGGCAATCCACAAAATGGTTTGGCACACTTTGTTGTAGCAACCCTGCCCTGCCCTACAGGAACTGGAGATAGTGGAATTGACCCGGAAACCTTCTGCATGACTGGCAGCAACCCAAGTTGTCTTTATCTTTCTCCTAGAGCTTACACTGTACTTACAAACTTATATGAAATAAAAACACTAATAATATCATATATGTACATTAGTCCTTTATTTGTCCCCCAAAAAGTTTTTGCAACACACCCAAGCTGCCACAGGAGCCAACGATAAGGTTCCTTCTGTGTGTAAGGCAGTCATTAATCACTTATTTAATACAACTTGGAATTTTTATACATTCCTTTTTATACGGTTTTATACGTTCTGTGATTATAATTTTTTAATAATTTTGTATTTCTTAAAGAAGTTAAAGATGTGACATGCTCATTGGCCACAGATTTGTTTCTACTGACATTAAATGGTGAAAAATCTCAAAAGCAGAGTCGTTCTGTGAGTAACTGTTGGCTTTCATTCCTCCCCTCTCCACCGGCCCACTCTTTCACTGTCCACCATTCCGTCTGTCCATCCTTTATCTGCACCACTCCTGACCCCTGGCTGCTCATTCCTTCTGGGAAGGTTTTCCACACATCAAAGTGCACTGCCATTTATTTCAGGGACAATCAGCAAACATAAGATAATTGGGTGTTGCTAGAGGTCTGCCTCAAGCCCACTGAGCCCGTCTGACAGCAAAAAAAAAAAAAAAAACATAAATAAAAGACAAAAGGAATGACAAGCCTGTTGCCTGGAGCAGATGAGCAGCAGTTAAAGCCAGAAATAGTGAGCGATGACATGCATATAAATGGTGGCTGTGCAAAGGTAAACAATGACTCTTAATTACCAGGCAAACTTTTAATTAAGATGACAGGAGAGTAATTATTTCCCCTGACAGAGTTCATTGAGCCAAAGAGTCCATGTTCTGATTAGGCCTCTCATCTGGATGTCTCTGCTCCTGTGGGGAGACAATAATGACACGACCTCTCGTTCACAGAGGACATACACACAGCACAGGGGGCGATGGCGGAGGAAGGGGGTCTTTTTTCTTCAAATACTGTTTTGATCATAATGGCAGGAACAGCACAGGACAAAGGTTCATGGATCTGTAAGGTGCATCTGTTGTGACACATACATATATAGATATACCGTCTGCTAATGCACACTGACAGGACTGAATATAATGGACTTGATTTTACACCGTTGTCAACTTTTTTTCACTGTGAGGAAAGTTAGGAAAAAGAAGAAAAGCGTGCTAACCGTGTGTGTGGCGTCCAGCGATCCATTTATCAGCAAAAATTGCAGTTGACAAGACCAATTATATTTGGAGATTTGATGTATTTAACTGGATGCGACTCAAATGTACGTTAACCTCCAGTGCACTCCAGATGTGAGCACTGTGTGTAGAAGATGAAATGGATTCTGTAACACAATTTGTGACAGTGAATGAATGATTACATGTGTAAGTCAGTGTGCACAGTCTGCCTGGTCTGAACTGTATATGAGCAGCCTGTAGAGATTTCATCACATTTTCTAACATAAGCTTTTACAGGCCTATTGATTCCATTAACCCTAATGATTCAGCGATGGATGGATGTGTGTGTCTCAGTCTTACAGAGTTTCATCCTGGGAGAAATCATTTCAGTCTGTTTCCATTACGTTCAGAGTCAAATGTAGATAATGGCACAGTGATCACACAAACCACTGCAGTAAGGATGTTTGGATCATTTAGGTGTTGTTGTCTATGTTGGAGGAGGTTATATGTACATTATACTGTTACTCAATGATTCTTAATTATACAGCCACCGAGAGGGCCACAAAAGATGTTCAGTTTTTTTGACCGGTGGGCAGCGAGGGCTGCAGTGGTGCATAGGTCATCAACTGAAGACCCCAGAGATATGTTCATATCATCAAGAAGCTCAGTTACAATGCAGCTTTTGACCATGTGGGGGTGGTAATGCATCAGTCAGTTCTTGAACAAGCATAAATATACAGAGAAGAAGTTTGTCTTCTCCATCCTAACTTCATTAAATATGGCTTTTTGCTTTTTAAACTGTAGGTGGATTTGGTTTATAATTGAACTATAATTGAGCTAAATACACAGAGGTACGATTTAATGGGCCACTTTGTATTTATGAAAATTAGGCCTTAGGGTCAAAAAGGTTAAGAACCCTAGCCATAACAGATCTAGTAACAGGTAAAGTAACTAGAAAGTGATTGATTACATGCGATGATTTGACATTTAGACATGTGTTGTGACTTCAGCTGAAGAATCTTGTCCTGTTTAAAAAGGAAAACTTCTAAACGACTCTTTTATATTGATCAAGCTTAATTGATGTAATCGTGCTTTTGCTTTTGAATTTTGGCGGGACTGCTGATTCCCGCCGTTAGAAAATTTCTTGGCTGTGCACATGTGGATGAATTATTGACTGCTGTTGACGTGCAGTCCATTTCTCTTTATTTATGAATGAGCTGCTCTGATGTGGGATCAAACCTGCCCTGACTCTCTGAACCTGGCTTTTACCTGCAAAGATTTTCCATTTGGCATTCAAGCCGAGTCCTTTGGTATGTCAGCAAAATTTCATTCATTATTATTTTGTCCTCCTGATCTTTTCTGATCCACTCAGGGTGTTTTT